CTACTACTACTAGTACTACTACTAGTACTACTACTACTACTAGTACTACTACTACTACTACTAGTATTACAACTACTATACTACTACTAGTAATACTACTACTACTAGTACTAATAATAGTACGACTAATACTATTACTACTAGTACTAGTACTACTAATACTACTACTACTAGTACTACTTACACTAGTACTACTACTACTAGTACTACTACTACTACTTCCAGTGCTACTAACTACTACTACTAGTACTACTACTAGTACTATGAGTACTATTACTACTACTACCAGTACTAATAACACGACTACTACTACTAGTACAAATACTAGTACTACTAGTAATACTACTACTACTAGTATTAATACTACTAGTAATACTACTACTACTAGTACTACTACTACTAGTACTACTACTACTAGTACTACTAGTAATACTACTACTAGTACTACTACTAGTATACTACTACTAATAAAAGTACTACTACTGCTTCTACATCTACTACTACTAGTACTACTATTACTACTAATACTACTACTAATACTACTACTAGTACTACTACTAGTACTACTACTACTCCTATTACTACTACTAATATTCCTACCAATAATAATACTACTACTAATAGTACTAATATTATTACTAGTATTACTAACACTACTACTACTACTAGTACTCCTAATAATAGTACTAATAGTACTACTAATAATACTACTACTACTACTACTAGTACTCCTCCTACTACTACTACTAGTACTACTACTAATACTACTACGACTATTAGTACTACTACTACTAGTACTACTTCCACTAGTACTACTACTACTACGAGTACTAATACTATTACTACTACTACCAGTACTACTACTAGTACTACTACTACTACTAGTACTACTAGTACTACCACTAGTACTACTACTAGTACTACTACTAGTACTATTAATATTACTACTATTACTACTAGTAGTACTAATACTAATACTACTAGTGCCACTACTACTACTAGTACTACTACTACTAGTACTACTACTACTAGTACTACAACTAATACTATTACTACTACTACTATTACTAGTACTAATATTATTATAATTAATATTACTACTACTAATACTACTACTACTAGTATTAATAATACTGCTACTACTAATACTACTACTACTAATAGTACTATTACTAATACTAGTACTACTACTACTAATACTACTACTCTACTACTAGTATTACTAATACTACTAGTACTACTACTACTACTAGTACCACTACTGTTACTACGACTACTACTAGTACTATTACCAGTACTACCAGTGCTACTATTAACATTAATAATACTATTACTACTACTTGAACTACTACTAATACTCTTTGTACTACTACTACTACCCGTACTAATACTACTAGTAGTACTACTACTAATACTACTAGTACCACTACTACTACCACTACTACTACTACTAGTACTACTACTACTACCACTACTACTACTAGTACTACTACTACTAGTAATACTACTACTAGTACTACTACTACTAGTACTACTAGTACTACTACTACTACTAGTACTACTACTACTACTAGTATTACAACTATTAGTACTATTACTAGTAATACTACTACTACTAGTACTAATACTTGTACGACTAATACTATTACTACTAGTACTAGTACTACTAATACTACTACTACTAGTACTACTAATACTAGTACTACTACTACTAGTACTACTACTACTACTACTACTAGTACTACTACTACTACTTCCAGTGCTACTACTACTACTACTAGTACTACTACTAGTACTATGAGTACTATTACTACTACTACCAGTACTAATAACACGACTACTACTACTAGTACAACTACTAGTACTACTCGTAATACTACTACTACTACTAGTATTAATACTACTAGTAATAATACTACTACTAGTACTACTACTACTAGTACTACTACTACTCCTATTACTACTACTAATATTCCTACCAATATTAATACTACTACTAATAGTACTAATATTATTACTAGTATTACTAACACTACTACTACTAGTACTCCTAATAATAGTACTAATAGTACTACTAATAATACTACTACTACTACTAGTACTCCTCCTACTACTACTACTAGTACTACTACTAATACTACTACGACTATTAGTACTACTACTACTAGTACTACTTCCACTAGTACTAATACTACTACGAGTACTAATACTATTACTACTACTAGTACTACTACTAGTATACTACTACTAATAAAAGTACTACTACTACTGCTACTTCTACTACTACTACTAGTACTACTATTACTACTAATACTACTACTAATACTACTACTAGTACTACTACTAGTACTACTACTACTCTTATTACTACTACTAATATTCCTACCAATATTAATACTACTACTAATAGTACTAATATTATTACTAGTATTACTAACACTATTACTACTAGTACTCCTAATAATAGTACTAATAGTACTACTAATAATACTACTACTACTACTAGTACTCCTCCTACTACTACTACTAGTACTACTACTAATACTACTACGACTATTAGTACTAATACTACTAGTACTACTTCCACTAGTACTAATACTATTACGAGTACTAATACTACTACTACTACCAGTACTACTACTAGTACTACTAGTACTACCACTAGTACTACTACTATTACTACTACTAGTACTATTAATATTACTACTATTACTACTAGTAGTACTAATACTAATACTACTAGTGCCACTACTAATACTAGTACTACTACTACTAGTACTACTAATACTACTAGTACTACAACTAATACTATTACTACTACTATTATTACTAGTACTAATATTATTATAATTAATATTACTACTACTACTACTAGTATTAATAATACTGCTACTACTAATACTACTACTACTAATAGTACTATTACTAATACTAGTACTACTACTACTAATACTACTACTCTACTACTAGTATTACTAATACTACTAGTACTACTACTACTACTAGTACCACTACTGTTACTACGACTACTACTAGTAATATTACCAGTACTACCAGTGCTACTATTAATATTAATAATACTATTACTACTACTTGTACTACTACTAATACTCTTTGTAATACTACTACTACCCGTACTAATACTACTAGTAGTACTACTACTATTACTAATAGTACCAATACTACTAACACTAATACTACTAGTACTACTACTACTACCACTACTACTACTAGTACTACTACTACTAGTAATACTACTACTAGTACTACTACTACTAGTACTACTACTAATACTACTACTAGTACTACTACTAGTACTGCTACTACTCCTATTACTAATACTACTATTCCTACCAATACTAATACTACTACTAATAATACTAATATTATTACTAGAATTACTAACACTACTATTATTACTAGTACTCCTAATAATAGTACTAATAATACTACTAATACTACTAGTACTACTACTAATACTACTACGACTATTAGTACTACTACTACTAGAAATTCTTCCACTAGTACTACTACTAATACTAGTACTAATATTATTACTAATACTACCAGTACTACTACTAGTACTACTACTACTAGCACTGATACTATTACTACTATTGCTACTACTAGTACTAATACTACTAGTGTTACTACTACTAATACTAGTAATATTACTACTACCACTACTACTACTATTAGTACTACTACTACTACTAGTACTAGTACTACTAGTATTACTACTACTACTATTCTACTAGTACTACTACTACCACTAGTACTACTACTACTAATACTATTAGTAATACTACTACTACTTCTAGTACTACAATTAATACTAGTACTACTACTACTACAACTACTACTAGTACTACTACTACTAGTACTAGTACTACTAGTACTAATACTACTACTATTACTAATAGTACTAGTAATACCACTAGTACTACTACTACTACTAGTACTAATACTACTACTACTAGTAATACTACTACTACTTCTAGTACGACTATTATTATTAGTACAACTACTACTACAACTATTACTAATAATACTACTACTAATATTACTACTACTACTACCAGTACTACTACTAGTACTACTACTAATACTACTAGTACTGATACTACTACTACTACTGCTACTACTAGTACTAATAATACTACTACTAGTACTACTAATACTACTACTAGTACTACTACTACTACCACTACTACTACAATACTACTACTACTAGTAATACTACTACTAGTACTACTACTACTAGTACTACTACTAATACTACTACTAGTACTACTACTAGTACTACTACTACTCCTATTACTAATACTACTATTCCTACCAATACTAATACTACTACTAATAGTACTAATATTATTACTAGAATTACTAACACTACTATTATTACTAGTACTCCTAATAATAGTATTAATAGTACTACTAATAATACTACTACTACTAGTACTACTACTAATAATATTACGACAATTAGTACTACTACTACTAGAACTTCTTCCACTAGTACTACTACTAATACTAGTACTAATATTATTACTAATACTACCAGTACTACTACTAGTACTACTACTACTACTAGCACTGATACTATTACTACTATTGCTACCACTAGTACTACTACTACTACTAGTGCTACTACTAATAATACTAGTAATATTACTACTACCACTACTACTACTATTAGTACTACTACTACTAGTACTAGTACTACTAGTATTACTACTACTACTTTTCTACTAGTACTCCTAATACCACTAGAACTACTACTACTTCTAGTACTACAATTAATACTAGTACTACTACTACTACAACTACTACTAGTACTACTACTACTACTAGTACTAGTACTACTAGTACTAATACTACTACTATTACTAATAGTACTACTAATACCACTAGTACTACTACTATTACTAGTACTACTACTAATACTACTAGTAATACTACTACTACTTCTAGTACTACTACTAATACTAGTACAACTACTAATACTACAACTACTACTAATAATACTACTACTAATATTACTACTACTACTAATACCAGTACTACTACTAGTACTACTACTAGTACTACTACTACTCCTATTACTACTACTAATATTCCTACCAATAATAATACTACTACTAATAGTACTAATATTATTACTAGTATTACTAACACTACTACTACTACTAGTACTCCTAATAATAGTACTAATAGTACTACTAATAATACTACTACTACTACTAGTACTCCTCCTACTACTACTACTAGTACTACTACTAATACTACTACGACTATTAGTACTAATACTACTAGTACTACTTCCACTAGTACTAATACTATTACGAGTACTAATAATACTACTACTACCAGTACTACTACTAGTACTACTACTACTAGTACTACTAGTACTACCACTAGTACTACAACTATTACTACTACTAGTACTATTAATATTACTACTATTACTACTAGTAGTACTAATACTAATACTACTAGTGCCACTACTACTACTAGTACTACTACTACTAGATTTACTAATACTATTAGTACTACAACTAATACTATTACTGCTACTATTATTACTAGTACTAATATTATTATAATTAATATTACTACTACTACTACTAGTATTAATAATACTGCTACTACTAATACTACTACTACTAATAGTACTATTACTAATACTAGTACTACTACTACTAATACTACTACTCTACTACTAGTATTACTAATACTACTAGTACTACTACTACTAATAGTATCACTACTGTTACTACGACTAATACTAGTAATATTACCAGTACTACCAGTGCTACTATTAACATTATTAATACTATAACTACTACTTGTACTACTACTAATACTCTTTGTACTACTACTACTACCCGTACTAATAGTACTAGTAGTACTACTACTATTACTAATAGTACCAATACTACTAACACTAATACTACTAGTACTACTACTACTACCACTACTACTACTAGTACTACTACTACTAGTAATACTACTACTAGTACTACTACTACTAGTACTACTACTAATACTACTACTAGTACTACTACTAGTACTGCTACTACTCCTATTACTAATACTACTATTCCTACCAATACTAATACTACTACTAATAATACTAATATTATTACTAGAATTACTAACACTACTATTATTACTAGTACTCCTAATAATAGTACTAATAATACTACTAATAATACTACTAATACTACTAGTACTACTACTAATACTACTACGACAATTAGTACTACTACTACTAGAACTTCTTCCACTAGTACTACTACTAATACTAGTACTAATATTATTACTAATACTACCAGTACTACTACTAGTACTACTACTACTACTAGCACTGATACTATTACTACTATTGCTACTACTAGTACTACTACTACTAGTGCTACTACTAATAATACTAGTAATATTACTACTACCACTACTACTACTATTAGTACTACTACTACTAGTACTAGTACTACTAGTATTACTACTACTACTTTTCTACTAGTACTACTACTACCACTAGTACTACTACTACTAATAAAATTAGTAATACTACTACTACTTCTAGTACTACAATTAATACTAGTACTACTACTACTACTACAACTACTACTAGTACTACTACTACTAGTACTAGTACTACTAGTACTAATACTACTACTATTACTAATAGTACTAGTAATACCACTAGTACTACTACTACTACTAGTACTAATACTACTACTACTAGTAATACTACTACTACTTCTAGTACGACTATTATTATTAGTACAACTACTACTACAACTATTACTAATAATACTACTACTAATATTACTACTACTACTACCAGTACTACTACTAGTACTACTACTAATACTACTAGTACTGATACTACTACTACTACTGCTACTACTAGTACTACTAATACTACTACTAGTACTACTAATACTACTACTAGTACTACTACTACTACCACTACTACTACTAGTACTACTACTACTAGTAATACTACTACTAGTACTACTACTACTAGTACTACTACTAATACTACTACTAGTACTACTGCTAGTACTACTACTACTCCTATTACTAATACTACTATTCCTACCAATACTAATACTACTACTAATAGTACTAATATTATTACTAGAATTACTAACACTACTATTATTACTAGTACTCCTAATAATAGTACTAATAGTACTACTAATAATACTACTACTACTACTAGTACTACTACTAATAATACTACGACAATTAGTACTACTACTACTAGAACTTCTTCCACTAGTACTACTACTAATACTAGTACTAATATTATTACTAATACTACCAGTACTACTACTAGTACTACTACTACTACTAGCACTGATACTATTACTACTATTGCTACTACTAGTACTACTACTACTAGTGCTACTACTAATAATACTAGTAATATTACTACTACCACTACTACTACTATTAGTACTACTACTACTAGTACTAGTACTACTAGTATTACTACTACTACTTTTCTACTAGTACTACTAATACCACTAGTACTACTACTACTTCTAGTACTACAATTAATACTAGTACTACTACTACTACTACAACTACTACTAGTACTACTACTACTACTAGTACTAGTACTAATAGTACTATTACTACTACTATTACTAATAGTACTACTAATACCACTAGTACTACTACTATTACTAGTACTACTACTAATACTACTAGTAATACTACTACTACTTCTAGTACTACTACTAATACTAGTACAACTACTAATACTACAACTACTACTAATAATACTACTACTAATATTACTACTACTACTACTACCAGTACTTCTACTAGTACTACTACTAATAGTACTTGTACTGATACTACTACTGATACTACTAGTACTAATACTAATACTAGTACTACTACCACTAGTACTACTACTACTACCACCAATACTACTACTACTAGTACTACTAGTAGTACTACTACTACTACAAGTACTACTACTACTACTAGTACTAGTATTACTACTATTACTAGTACTACTACTACTACTACTAGTACTACTACTACTTAGTACTACTACTACTATTACTAATAATACTACTACTACTACTAGTACTACTACAACTACTACTACTAGTACTACTACTACTACTACTAGTACTACTACTACTACTAGTACTACTACTAGTACTATGAGTACTACTACTACTACTACCAGTACTAATAACACGACTACGACTACTAGTACAACTACTAGTACTACTAGTAATACTACTACTACTACTAGTAGTAATAATACTAGTAATACTACTACTTCCAGTACTACTACTACTAGTACTACTACTAATACTACTACTAGTACTACTACTAGTATACTACTACTAATAAAAGTACTACTACTTCTACTGCTATTTCTACTACTACTACTAGTACTACTATTACTACTAGTACTACTACTAATACTACTACTAGTACTACTACTAGTACTACTACTACTCCTATTACTAATACTACTATTCCTACCAATACTAATACTACTACTAATAGTACTAATATTATTACTAGTATTACTAACACTACTACTACTAGTACTCCTAATAATAGTATTAATAGTACTACTAATAATACTACTACTACTACTGTACTCCTCCTACTACTACTACTAGTACTACTACTAATACTACTACGACTATTAGTACTACTACTACTAGAACTTCTTCCACTAGTACTACTACTAATACTAGTACTAATACTATTACTACTACTACCAGTACTACTACTAGTACTACTACTACTAGCACTGATACTATTACTACTATTGCTACTACTAGTACTACTACTACTACTAGTGCTACTACTAATAATACTAGTAATATTACTACTACCACTACTACTACTATTAGTACTACTACTACTAGTACTAGTACTACTAGTATTACTACTACTACTTTTCTACTAGTACTACTAATACCACTAGTACTACTACTACTTCTAGTACTACAATTAATACTAGTACTACTACTACTACTACAACTACTACTAGTACTACTACTAGTACTAGTACTAGTACTAATAGTACTATTACTACTACTATTACTAATAGTACTACTAATACCACTAGTACTACTACTATTACTAGTACTACTACTACTACTACTAGTACTACTACTAATACTACTACTAGTACTACTACTAGTATACTACTACTAATAAAAGTACTTCTACTACTACTTCTACTTCTACTACTACTACTAGTAATACTACTACTACTTCTAGTACTACTACTAATACTAGTACAACTACTAATACTACAACTACTACTAATAATACTACTACTAATATTACTACTACTACTACCAGTACTACTACTAGTACTACTACTAATACTACTAGTACTGATACTACTACTACTACTGCTACTACTAATACTACTAATACTACTACTAGTACTACTACTACTAGTACTACTACTACTACCACCAATACTACTACTACTAGTACTAGTAGTAGTACTACTACTACTACAAGTACTACTACTACTACTAGTACTAGTATTACTACTACTAATAGTACTACTACTACTACTAGTACTACTACTACTACTAGTACTACTAATACTAGTACTAATAATACTACTATTACTACTAGTACTACTACAACTACTACTACTAGTACTACTACTACTACTAGTACTGCTACTAGTAGTATGAGTACTACTACCACTACTACCAGTACTAATAACACGACTACTACTACTAGTACAACTATTAGTACTACTAGTAATACTACTACTACTACTAGTAATACTACTAGTAACACTACTACTACTAGTACTACTACTACTAGTACTACTACTACTAGTACTACTACTAATACTACTACTAGTACTACTACTAGTATACTACTACTAATAAAAGTACTTCTACTACTACTTCTACTTCTACTACTACTACTAGTACTACTATTACTACTAGTACAACTACTAATACTACTACTAGTACTACTACTAGTACTACTACTACTCCTATCACTACTACTACTATTCCTACCAATACTAATACTACTATTAATAGTACTAATATTATTACTAGTATTACTAACACTACTACTACTACTAGTACTCCTAATAATAGTACTAATAGTACTACTAATAATACTACTACAACTACTAGTACTCCTCCTACTACTACTACTAGTACTACTACTAATACTTCTACGAATATTAGTACTACTACTACTAGTACTACTTCCACTAGTACTACTACTACTACGAGTACTAATACTACTACTAATACTACCAGTACTACTACTAGTACTACTACTACTAATAGTACTACTAGTACTAACACTAGTACTACTACTAGTACTACTACTAGTACTATTAATATTACCACTATTACTACTAGTAGTACTAATACTAATACTACTAGTGCCACTACTACTACTAGTACTACTACTACTAGTATTACTACTACTACTAGTACTACAACTAATACTATTACTACTAGTAGTATTAGTAGTAGTAATATTAATTATAATAATATTAGTACTACTAATACTACTACTACTACTAGTATTAATAATACTGCTACTACTAATACTACTACTACTAATAGTACTATTACTAATACTAGTACTACTACTACTAATACTACTACTCTACTACTAGTATTACTAATACTACTAGTACTACTACTACTAGTACCACTACTGTTACTACGACTACTACTAGTACTATTACCAGTACTACCAGTGCTACTATTAACATTAATAATACTATTACTACTACTTGTACTACTACTAATACTCTTTGTACTACTACTACTACCCGTACTAATACTACTAGTAGTACTACTACTAATACTACTAGTACCACTACTACTACCACTACTACTACTACTAGTACTAGTACTACTACCACTACTACTACTAGTACTACTACTACTAGTAATACTACTACTAGTACTACTACTACTAGTACTACTACTAGTACTACTAGTACTACTACTACTACTAGTACTACTACTACTACTACTAGTATTACAACTACTATACTATTACTAGTAATACTACTACTACTAGTACTAATAATAGTACGACTAATACTATTACTACTAGTACTAGTACTACTAATACTACTACTACTAGTACTACTAACACTAGTACTACTACTACTAGTACTACTACTACTACTTCCAGTGCTACTACTACTACTACTAGTACTACTACTAGTACTATGAGTACTATTACTACTACTACCAGTACTAATAACACGACTACTACTACTAGTACAACTACTAGTACTACTAGTAATACTACTACTACTAGTATTAATACTACTAGTAATACTACTACTACTAGTACTACTACTACTAGTACTACTACTACTAGTACTACTACTAATACTACTACTAGTACTACTACTAGTATACTACTACTAATAAAAGTACTACTACTGCTTCTACATCTACTACTACTACTAGTACTACTATTACTACTAATACTACTACTAATACTACTACTAGTACTACTACTAGTACTACTACTACTCTTATTACTACTACTAATATTCCTACCAATAATAATACTACTAGTAATAGTACTAATATAATTACTAGTATTACTAACACTACTACTACTACTAGTACTCCTAATAATAGTACTAATAGTACTACTAATAATACTACTACTACTACTAGTACTCCTCCTACTACTACTACTAGTACTACTACTAATACTACTACGACTATTAGTACTAATACTACTAGTACTACTTCCACTAGTACTAATAATATTACGAGTACTAATACTACTACTACTACCAGTACTACTACTAGTACTACTACTACTAGTACTACTAGTACTACCACTAGTACTACTACTAGTACTACTACTAGTACTATTAATATTACTACTATTACTACTAGTAGTACTAATACTAATACTACTAGTGCCACTACTAATACTAGTACTACTACTACTAGTACTACTAATACTACTAGTACTACAACTAATACTATTACTGCTACTATTATTACTAGTACTAATATTATTATAATTAATATTACTACTACTAATACTACTACTACTACTAGTATTAATAATACTGCTACTACTAATACTACTACTACTAATAGTACTATTACTAATACTAGTACTACTACTACTAATACTACTACTCTACTACTAGTATTACTAATACTACTAGTACTACTACTACTACTAGTACCACTACTGTTACTACGACTACTACTAGTAATATTACCAGTACTACCAGTGCTACTATTAACATTAATAATACTATTACTACTACTTGTACTACTACTAATACTCTTTGTAATACTACTACTACCCGTACTAATACTACTAGTAGTACTACTACTATTACTAATAGTACCAATACTACTAACACTAATACTACTAGTACTACTACTACTACCACTACTACTACTAGTACTACTACTACTAGTAATACTACTAGTACTACTACTACTACT